AAAGAGCAACAAGGGGACAAAAGGGACAGCGAGAAGAGGCACGAGGTCTGCAGGAACCACAGGCAGAGAAAAATCAGGACAGAAGGAGAAGTGAGAGCTGAAGGGGGTGGAGGGGGAAGGGAGACGACAGAGGGACAGAGGGGCTGGGGGACAGACAGGGGAAGGGGTGGCTGGGGAACCCTCATGGTTCCAGGTGCCCCACACCAAATGTCACTGCTCAGCACCACACCCGTGGCCCCACAGCAGGGTCCGGCCAAGCCAGGGTACATGGGACCCCACGTGTCCCTGTGCCAGGGGCTGAGGCCCCAATGCCCCACATCCCCCCACACCCCAGGACCAGAGCCTGGCACCCCAGGACCAGTGCCCAGCACCCCATGTATCACCACATCCCTGTGTGTCCTCATGCAGAAGGACTTGGTCCCCAGCGTTCCCAGTGTCCTAGCATTCCCCATGTCCCCACGCCCAAGGACATGGGCCCCAGTGCTCCCCATCACCCCATGTCCCCATCTGTCTGTGTCCCCATGTCCCCATCTGTCTGTGTCCCCATGTCCCCATCTCCCTGTGTCCCCATGTCCCCATGTCCTTGTGTTCCCGTGTCCATATCTCCCTGTGTCCGTGTTTCCTTGTGTCCCTATGTCCCTCTATCCCCATGTCCCCATGTTCCTGTCTCCTCATGTCCCCATCTCCCTGTGTCTCCATGTCCATGGGTTCCCGTGTCTATATCTCCCTGTGTCCCTGTCTCCCCGTGTCCTTGTATCCATGTCCCTGTATCGCCATGTCCCCATGTCCCTGTATCCCCATGTCCCTATCTCCCCATGTCCCTGTGTCCCCTTGTCACTCTATTCCCATGTCCCCATGTCCCTGTCTCCCCGCATCCCCATCTCCCCGTGTCCCTGGGTTCCCGTGTCTGTATCTCCCTGTGTCCCTGTGTCCTTGTATCCATGTCCATGTCCTCCCCGTGTCCATGTCTCCATGTCCGTGTCTCCCTGTGTCCGCATCTCCCCATGTCCCTGTATCCATGTCCATGTCTCCCTGTGTCCCCATCTCCCCATGTCCCTGTATCCACGTCCGTGTCT